AAGGTTACCTTTGGTTGGCATTCTCGTTATTCCAACTCTTGGTTGGTATCCTTTGGTTGACATTCTCGTTATTCCAACTCTTGGTTGGTATCCTTTGGTTGTTTATTCCAACTCTTGGTTGGTATCCTTTGGTTGTATATTCCAACTCTTGGTTAGTATCCTTTGATCGTTATCCCAACTCTTGGTTGGTATCCTTTGATCGTTATCCGAACTCATGGTTGGTATCCTCCGGTTGTTTATCCTGACTCTTGGTTGGTACCTTTTGGTTTGTATACGACGGTTTTGTTCCAACTTTTGGTTGAAGTTTTGTTCATCTTGGATTGTTATCCTCAGCGTGTCGCATACCAACTTTTGGTTGGTATTCGCTGTTTTGCATCTCCGCAGGTTGCAAATTTCTGGGTTCTTTTGGTACTCAATCTCCATGTACCTTGAATATTTGAAAGCCGTTGCTATCACCCCTTCGGGTTCAAGTCGATTGAATAAGGGCAGTTGTAGCACCCCCAAAAATTTCTCATCGTTTCTTGGTTTTCTGGATTATGTTTCCTTGTATTTTGCATTTCTGCATATCATAGCCTTGGCTCTTAGGACATGTGATCAAGGTATTTCTGTGGCTCAGAGTTCCTTTTTGTTGTAAGAGTTCAAACAGTGAGCGTCAGGGGCTCCGACAGTTATTTTGCCCAGCGATCGAGCGGTCGGTTTTATTCTTTTCACCAGGTTATTTTCAGCTCAGGAGACGGTGTACAGGCTATCTCACAATCATAATATCCAAGGGCAAGTTTAAGAGCTTATGCAGATTTCCCTCCATTTGGCGCCAATTTGGGCATTTTTGAATGTGGTAATCGATTGCGACATACAGGGTAACCGGTTACTTCAAGCGAATTTTGCCATGTAATTCAAATTTTCAGCATGTGCAATTTTCCAATCATTCTCAACCATTGATTTCACATGATCATCATTGGAAGGATCTAGAATTACTTCAATTTTCACCATTTCCCTCCAAATTTCAAACACTCCATTCCTAATTCCACTCCTAATTTCCATTCCAAATGCTAATCCATACTCCAAACCACACTTTGGTTCCTAACCTAGAGCTTATTTAAGTGAATTTGCTCCAAACCTCACACAATTAACCTTCATTTTCAGATTTCACACTCATTCTTGAGAATTTGCTCTCAACTTTCTCTCCACTTTTTTCACTCCCAAAACCTCCATTAAAGCTCTTTTCATTTGAGTTCTTTGATTCTTCATTGGAATCCTTGAACTCTAAAGCTAAACCTTCATCATTCGTCTCCGTTATCCTCAATTTTCATTTGATTTTGAATTTGAATTTGGAAGCTATATTGGAAGTGCTTTTTTGAGTCGATTTTGCTTGATCTTGCTTGTTCTTCATTTCTATCACAAGGAAGCTCTTGTATCTAGAAGATTCTCTAGGTTTCTAGCTTGGATCTATTAATTTCAAGTGAATCAACACTCACTAAAGCAAATCTCAGCTTTGAAGATTGGTAATTCTAGATCTAATTATGTTTTGAGCTTATTTGAATAATCATAATGTAGATCCATGGATTTTGTTGCTTTTTGATCCATTTTGATGATTTGGATCTTGGTGATTTGTGATTTGATTGTTTGATTGTGTTTACATGATGCTTGATCACTGATTCTTGATGATAAATTTGTGCTTAATTGATAGCATGTTCATATGAGTGATTGGATAAGCTGTTAGATGCTGAAAAATGATTTTAAAAAGTTAATATTCTGTTTTCTGCTCAGAGTAACCGATTACCTGATATAGAGTAACCGGTTACTCAGTACAAATTTCATGTTTCCAGTTGTTTTTACAATGGGTAACCGGTTACCTGATATTGAGTAACCAGTTACCACTGAGCAGAATGTTGTATTTTTGCTTTTTTCTTGCTTGTTTGGGCTCCTTTTCACATGTAATCTTCATGGATTGATCTAATGCATTTATGTGTATTGTTTTTGACATATTTCATCATTCTTGAATGTTTGATCTCGATTCTTCGAAGCGTAACTTCCGGTTTCCATTTAAATGCATAACATGTTAATGTGCTTGGTTGATGAATGAGCACTTGCTTTGCTTGCTTGTATGCTGGATTTGTCGCTACTTTATGCAAGAGGCGTTGTTGTAGCTGTTGTTTTAGCCTTGTTTCTTCGCTTTTTGTTTTGCCTTTGCATGTTCCCTTAGGGTTCTCATTCCAATTTAATTTCTGATTAAATTTATAGTAAGATAGACATTAGGAGTTTAATCCATGCATGATAACATTAGGTTAGTCCCTTTTAACCTCAACCTTAGGTCCATCTTTTGCATGCTAACATTAGGATAGAATCTCATTTTTCATCCTAACTTTAGGACCACTTTGCATGATAACGTTAGGGCTGAGTTTCCCTTAGACCTTTCGTGCGTATCTCTTTTCATCTCAAAACACATTCTAACTCATCTAATAAATACGATGAACATTGTACGCTACGAGCCTTAAGCACGTGGGAAATGATGAGTGAGGGGTCTCCTCTCGGTCATCTAGAGTGTTTAGTGTACGTCCCGTCTGGAGGCAATATGCGATGCATTCGCTCATATGTCACAGTCTTTAGTGCACCGTGAATCATAAAGCAAACTAATTCACTTCACTAAAACTCACAAACAGAAGTCAAACCTTTTTATCCTTCGGGATTTGTATTTCAAACTCATTTTTAGAAAAGAGTACGTTACTTTTCCGTTCTACCGCAAACAGGCATCGATCCTAACTGCTGGAATGGGAACTTAACGTCACTCATAAAAAATACTTAACCAACATGTGGTTTCATTTCCCGAACTACGTTTGCTCTGATTTCTCATACCAAATGAGGATACATAGGCACACGACGACGATGTCTTGGCAAGCAACCTCCCCCCCCCCCCCCATCACCCGTAATTTCCCGAATTACGTTGACTTTGACTTTCCCATTGCACGAGGGAATACTAGGCATAGGGCGACGATGTCCTATCGAGTCCTTTTTTCTCTCTATTTTTTTCTTTTATTCTCGTTTCCGTTTAGCAGTAGCTTATAGATAAACACACCCTTTGATTAGACAACAAGCGTGGATCCCATTGAGTACAACGGACGTGAGGGGTGCTAATATCTTCCTCTTGCGTAACCGACTCCTGAACCCAAGATTTGGTTGCGATGACCTTGTCTTAATAAGAAGTTATTAAGTAAATTACATAATAAAGTAAGGGTAAAAATGGTAGAAAAATAAGCCACACCAAAATAAAGTATTCCCTTTATATATTGTATAGAATAGATATAAACGATACTTTTTGTTTAAATAAAAATTTTAAAAAACACAATATTTAGAAGTTAATAATAAGAAGTTAAGTGGAAGTTAATAATAAGAAATTATTAAATAAATTACATAATAAAGTAAAGGTAAAAGAAATAGAAAAATAAGTCACACTAAAATAAAATATTTCTTTTATATATTGTAAAGATAACCAAACACAACTAAGTCATTTATCTGTGTAAATTGACATTTAGTAAAATTACTTAATGATTGTTTAGGACGAAATCATAAAATAAACTATTATTTTATTAATCCATTGTTATTTAAAAAAAGTAGTATAGTGTTTGAAATATTAAAAAATATAGATACCACAATTTAAAAATATTAAAAAAAGTATCCGACTATGAATTAATTATTATCTTTTGTTTTTCTTCTGACTTCAAATTCTTATATTTTGACTATTTAGAAATCATTAAAAAAAACATACTAAATTTATTATCTAATTGATTAGTGACTAATATTTATTCAGATTATTTTATTTCTCTATTTGTCGACATACTCAACTAAATATTTGCCAAAGTTAAGAAAGTTGACCCGAGTTCAATGTAAAATGTCCTTACAATTCTTTTTTACTAATTTTTTTTGTTCATATTAAATTTATTTAATTTTAGGAGAAATTTTATATACAATTTCTTATAAGAGATTTTTACTATTTTTCAATGAAAATTGACAAGTTTACTTATACATCATTTAGGGAGTAAACTTATGAGTAAATTACATATGTGTAAGAAAAAATTATATATTTATCATATTTTTATTGAAAATACCAAAAGAATTAAATCTAAGTTTTCTCCTTAATTTTAACAAATTGTTTAATCACAAATATTTATTTCACGAATTATTTGCATATTAATTAAACTCATTATATTATAACTTCTTATTCTTATTTTAATATATAAAATATATTTCAGATTTATTTAATTAATATGAATTAAAATTTGTCTGGTATATAAATCAAATGTGCATTGATTTATTTTATAAAAATGATGCAGGAAATAATATAACGACATATAAAGAAGATGTAGTTGACACACAACAAAAAATATTTAAGAATGTTTTAAAAAAATCAAACACACAACAAAAAATAAAAATTGTACCATAAAACAAATAAAAACAAAAGGAACACCTAACTTGAGAAGAAAGCTATAGTAAAAAAGCAGAGAGAATAAGAAGAATAAGAAGAAAATGATGTGATGAACAGCTATTAATCCACCTTCCATTTTGCAATCTTCATCACCCCACCACTAACATATCTAGCTTCTCCTAAACATCAAATCGTCAAGCTAAAGGCAACAACATCCCCACTCCCAACATCTCCACCATGTGCTTTACGCTATACACATATATGGTATGGTCATATATTTCTTAACTTATTATTGCATTTCCAAAAATAGCAAAATCTTTTCAACCACATGAAACAAACACTTAGGTCAGGAAAATGGAAGACTTAAGTGCACCATTATGTTTATGGCATTTGAGCTGGGTGAACATGGTGGGGACAGATTGGAGTTGAAGGAAGATAAAAGTACTATTCATCATCACTTTGTAACAAGTGGAGTAGTGGAGGTTAATGCAAACTAGGTTGTAACTAACTAGTGCAATGTGAAGAGTATATATAAAAGGGTGGTGTAGAGGAATTGTGATATATTCATTGTTGGGAAGAAATGGGGGTTATGATGAGGAGAGTGGTATTTGGGGTGGTTTTGGTTGTTGTGGTGATGGTTTTAAGTCCTTGTTTGGTTAATGGGAGAAGTGGTTTTCATGAGAAGAGAATGGATGGCAATGGCATCAACTCTACCGGTGATGTTTTTCGTGGAGAGGAAAGTATTGTGGAAGATTTTGGCCGGAGTGAGAAAGAGTATTCATCTGAAAATGTAGTTGTTGAAAGGAAGTTTAGTGTGAACAATGGCGGAAAAGGAGGGGGTGCTGGCGGTGGAGGAGGAGGAGGTGGTGGTGGTGGAGGAGGGGGAAATGGGAGAGGTGGAAATAGGGGGAGTAGAAAGGGGATGGGTGGAGGTGGTGGCGGAGGAGGAGGTGGTGGAGGAAATGGACAAGGTCATGGATGGGGAGGGGGAAGTGGTGGAGGAGGTGGTGGTGGTGGTGGTGGTGGAGGAGGAGGAAATGGTAATGGTCATGGTCATGGAAGAGGTGAAGGAAGTGGAGGAGGAGGTGGAGGTGGTGGTGGTGGTGGAGGAGGAGGAGGAGGTGGTGGAGGGGGTGGTGGTGGTGGTGGTGGAGGAAGTGGTGAAGGTTGGGGTTGGGGTGGAGGGAGTGGTTGATCAAGGTGGATGAGCAAGGAAAATAAGAAATGTTATTTTGTGTGACTTTGGTTTTATTTTTCAACTTATTTTTTTTGGTGATTTCAGTCATTTTAAATTTACGTTTGTGTTTTCACAATCTCTTTTGGATGGAGTTCCCATTTTCAAAAGGCAAATAATTGTTTTCCTATTATTAAATATATTAATAGATAAAATTTTAAATCCATATAATCGTCCAAAGATCATCCATTATTGAAGATGATTCTATCCAAATATGATCATCTATCCAAACAGTGAAATTACAAATTATATATACTGTGTTCATAGTGAAATAATTATTTGTAATTATTCATATTTTTCAAGCACAACATATGCAACAACGATAATTGAAGATAAATTTCATGCATTAAATGTATTACGCACATGTATTTTGGAGTATCTGTTGTCCAAATAAAACAACAAAAATATTTCATATGAAAGAAGAAAAACACATGAATGTATGCTATTAATGTAAATATCACTTCTATTAACACATACTATATAATATGAACTGAATGATAAAACTGTATGAGCAAAACATGTACTGAATGATAAAACTGTAGCAGCAGAATCAGTATTCAAATGATGGTTCAATTTTTCCTAATTGAAATGGATTAGTATATCATATCATTATCTACCTAATGGCATTGTAAAAAAAGATTATAAAAGAAAGAGGGCACGAAAAACGAAAATGGCTTAGTACATCATATCGTTATCTGCCTGATTGAAATGAAAATGCAGACTTTGGTTTTCCAAATAGTACACGACTTGAGGCTAATTGTTTAGTAACGTGAATATAGTTTCACAAAATCTTCATCAAGGGTGTTGCGGCGTGAAAAATCATCCGGAGCATTCGTACGTTTGAGATGATAATAGAGTCGTCTTAGAATTTTATTTATTTAAAAAAAGACAAATATCAATAAAACTTTTAAAAGAAAAATAAAATGGTCTTCGCAACTAAATTCGAGTTCGATAGTCGATTATGTGAGGGGAAGGTATTAACACCTCTCACATCTGTTGTATTCAACGAAAAACATTTAGTTAGATTTACGAATAGAATATTAGTTTTCGTCATTTGTTTTCTTCGAGTGATTAAAAGTTCAAAAGGAAAAGAAAAGGGATCGCAAAAAGGTTTTTATTAGAATGTTTGACAAGATTGCGGGTTTTGCTGCTACGTATCCTCAGGTGCGATGAGGAATTCAAAGTGACGTGGTACTGGCAAGACAAAGGTATTTTTGGTGTTTTTGTTATAGTGTTTGACGAGACGATGAACCTTGCTCCTACGTATCCCCAAGTGCGATGGAAAATTCAAAGTGACGTAATTCTTGGTAGCAAATGAACGTTGGTTGATTGATTTTAGTGAACAAATATTTAAGTCACATTCTAGCGGCTAAACTTTTGTTTGTATGCTCGCGCATGGGAGACTTAAGTGTTGTTTGTATCGCGGTAGAATGGACTAAATATTGTTTGTTTGAGAAAATATTTTCGATCGTGCGGGAGCGAGAAAAAAAGATGATTTTATTGGTTGAGATGTTTTTGAGTGGATGACGAAAGCTCGGATGGTTGAGTTATACGACTTGTATCCAAGCAATCGAGGAAAAGAATGGTAGACACCAAACCGTTTATTTTTCACCCATTTAATTGTGAAAGGTATTAAATATGATTAGGGTATTTTGAATGGAAGACAAATACTCGAATGGTCGAGCTATACGACTTGTATCCAAGTATTCGAGAAAAATATTGGTAGACACAAAACCGTTCCTTTTTCTCCCAATTAATTGTAAAAGGGTTAAAATGCGCAAAGGTGCACGAACTGTAACACGAGGTCTCGAGTTCTCACGCAAAGACGCGAATTCTAACGCGAGGACACGAATTCTAACATCACAAAGTTAACGCACGAATTGAAAAGTAGCATAACAAAAGTTAACGGAACGAAATGAAATGATCTCTCATACACAATGGCTTAACGCAACGCAATGAATAGTATGTGGCATCACGCCGCATGCAAGATAACAGCGACGAACACACAATACACAAATTATGGCTAGCATGCAGATATAGAAATCGAATCAAGAATAAGCATACGAAATGTAATGCGTAGATTAAGTTAACGTAACAAAACGAAAGTTAACGTAATGCAAAGAAAAGTAACACGGTGGCACAAAAGTTAACGTGCGAGTTGTAACGTAACACAATGAATCGTGCGAAACAGAACACCAAACACGACCAAACAGCTTGCAGACACATCAACAAATTAGATCTTAACATCAAACAAAAATCCAGTAGACTAACAACATATGAATCATGTTGAATCTACGGATTCAATCCAATTTAAACGTAACGAAATAAAAATAGTAGCAGACACATAAATTATTTACACCGTTACATCAATATTACAACTCTCAAATGCAAAAATCCAACACAAATGCAGTGCAATTAAATTCAAACCCAGGCACCAGGGATCTCACTTAGGGATCCGGCGTTTTGATTGCCTCATAGGGCGGCAAGGATTCCACTTAGGAGTCTAGCAATTTGATAACCCTATAGGGCGGCAAGGATCCCACTTAGGGATCTGACGTTTATATCGCCTCGAAGGGAGGTAAGGATCCCACTTAGGGTTCCAGTGCTTTGATCGGCTCATATGGTAGCAAGGATCCTGTTGCGGTGGAAATAGGATATCAAACGAGCCAAGAGATAAGGCTGACAATACCATAAATCTAATATGATGTGTATGCTGGAATGATAACTGTAACGGTGCAGACGACACGACGACACATGGGACAAATGCGATGAACGAACCAACACTGGGCAATATGACGCACTAGGGAACGGTAAGAACGGGATCCTCAAATGGAGATGGCACCGATGAGACGGCCTCTACTGGGGAATATCTGAGACTACTTATTCAACAGGTTCAGGTGTGACCGCCTGATACTCCAGAGTAAAAATAAAACTGGATCTGCACAACTGTAGGATTGATTAATAAGATGTTGGAGCATTGAGCAAAGAATAACATCCGAGCTTCTGTAAGCTTTCCCTCGTGACAGGATCAAACGAACTTTTCAGGAATCAATAGAAAATATACAGGGTAAAACCGACTGTATGCCAAAATATATGGACTTAAATGGGAAACGCCCTGATAAGCTTTCTCGAGAGAGAACTGCCACTTATCGTCAGAGGGGACTTATATGTCAAACTGGATAAGCTCTCAAATGACGAGACTGCGGCTTATCGTGGATAATTGATTGATTGATAATATAAACTTCTTCACGTCTCAAGTCTGTGCTTCCTGGACATGATTCGGTTTCTTCTTTTGCTAAAGGATAAACGAACTTCTTCATACTTCAAGGTCGGCGCCATGAACATGATTCAGCTCCTTCTTTTACTAAAGGATAAAACGAACTTCATCATGCTTCAAGATTTTGTGCTCTCCTGAATATGATTCTGCTCCTTCTTTTACTAAAGGATAAAATAAACTTCTTCATACTTCAAGATTTTGTGCTCTCCTGAATACGATTCAGCTCCTTCTTTTACTAAAGGATAAAATGAACTTCCTCATGCTTCAAGATTTTGTGCTCTCCTGAATATGATTCAACTCCTTCTTTTACTAAAGGATAAAATGAACTTCCTCATGCTTCAAGATTTTGTGTTCTCTTGAATATGATTCAGCTCCTTCTTTTACTAAAGGATAAAATGAACTTCCTCATGCTTCAAGATTTTGTGCTCTCCTGAATATGATTCAGCTCAAACCTCCCCACTCTTCAAGATGAAAGGGCAATGGAAACCAAAATGCTCGACGGAGACGGCCATTTGCTACAAGTCATAACGAAGATAGGATAAGCTTCTCAGGCGAGAAATACCGCTTATTTGCAAGAGTGGCAGTGATAAGCTTCTCGGGTGAGAACTGCTCGTAGAGGTGGCAACAGGTAATGTAAATTGTAAAGAAATTTGTGATGAGCTCCTTGTACGAGAAGGTCAATTGTAGAGTGTAATGTAAAGTGTAATGTAGGTGCTAAGCTCCTCGGCTGGGAACTGTTGCTTGTCTGTTGTGCAATGTAGTGATAAGCTTCTCAGGCGAGAACTGTTGTATATCTGCAAAGGATTGTAAATGCTTTCCTTGAAAGATAGTGCAAAATAAATGCACGTCCAGGTAGGTTCAGTGATCAACGGGACTGAAGTTCGATCTAGAATTTGGCTAGAAAGAACGGACAAACAAAACTCCATTGAGGAAACGAACTCGAATGGGGACTACCTTATCCTAACGTGGAAAGGTAACAGAAATAACCATCGTCCACGAGGGTTGAACTCTGTGGAGAAACTTGGAACAAAAAAATATTTTATGCTTAGGGCTGACAATCTACTTGGAGTGAGCGGACAAACCCAATTACTTGTTGGTAACGACAAAGGATGACACGGATAGCAAAACAATGTGGAACTAATGCGTATGCCAAATGTCGCTTACGCGAAAATAAGGTGTCGGCGCAATAGAAGAGTCGCCACCTTTTGTTATTTATCCCTCAGAGCAGGAAAGGAAACGATCGGAAAAACCTAACGAAAAAGGGTAAGACAAGGTCGTCGCAACCGTTGTCTGGGTTCGGGAGTCGGTTACGCAAGGGGAAGGTATTAGCACCCCTCACGTCCGTCGTACTCGACGGGATCCACGCTTGTTGTGATTACTGGACGGGTTGGTTTTTATCTATCTGCCTATCAAGGCTGGCTTAAACCAGAAAAGAAACTAACTCGGCAAAGCGTCGCACTTTATGCCTACGTATTCTCATCAGAGAACGAGAAATCAGAGTCAACGTAGTTCGACCTACGACGGGTTGTGGGGGAAGGTAGCTCGCCAATACATCAGTATTGTGCCTACGTACTCTCGACAGGTATGAGAGATCAGAGCTTACGTAGTTAGGGAGACTACGGTTTATTTCCTGTTTTTTACGGAAGAAATGTTTTTTATTGTGTTTGCAATTTCAATCGCACTA